GACAGTTTGTTTGGAACATCAGGATGCTTCCTTTATTTGTGAACTGTGAATGTCTTGTGTTATAGATTGAAGTCGTTGACTTTATTTCCATCTTTTTATTTTCAGGCTAATTTAAAAAAAGTAGCGTCAATTGCTTAGTAAGGAGTACTATAATAAATTCCTAAAAAGTTTTGATTTAGTCTTAAAGTTACGTATTTAGCGATCATCTGCTAAAACCGCCCTCGTACGTTATGGAAAATGTAATAAGCCCTATGAATACTAGCCGATTTGAATTAATAGTTTAAGTATACGCTTCTCTATTAAGATTCCGGTTGATATTCAAAATTTGCCATTTACGATGTTTGCAGTTAATGCGTGAAGTCGTAATCAACTTCATGTAGACGAGACCTCAACTGCATGAAGTTGATAACGATTTCACGCGTAGTAAATACGTGAAGTCTCAGCTGCATGAAGTCGGTTTCGACTGCATACAGTTAATGCGTTAAGTCGTTATCCAAGTCCTCGCCTGCATGAAGTTGATAACGGCTTCACGCATTAACTGCATACGGTCGAAACTTACTTCATGCAGCCAAGATCGACTGCATGCAGTTAATACGTGAAGCCGTTATCAACTTCATGCAATCGTGGTCTCGGCTGCTTGAAATTGATTACGGCTTCACACCTTAACTGAAAACATGCAGTTAATCTGTCAGGAGCCTAACGGCGCCAGTACACGCTAAGAAAAGTCGCTGGGTCTATGGAAGAATTCGTGTCGTTTCTACACACGAACTGTGTACACAGCCTCGGCGCCGCAATAAAAAAAATTCTTGTCTACCCCCGACGCGACGCGCTCTGCCGCTATTGCACAGGGCGCATTGTCAGTAAACGACCAACCTCTTTATTTCCGCTTTATTTCTTTTGACAGTCGGTAGTAAAACGACAGCTACCTCGTCAATGCATGACACGTTTACCCTACACGCGTCTGCCCGAAAGAATTCGTATCGTGTATATAGTCATCATTTTATTGTCTGCAACAGACACGAAATATTTTCGTGGCTAAATCCGACAATTCTTGTCGTGTATAAGGCCTTTCTCGTTTTTTCTTTTGCAGACACGACAAATTTCTTAGCGTGTACACGCGCCGTAAAGATACTGCTTCTGCGTACGTGAATGAGAAATAAGGTAGCCTGGTCTACGATGACGCAATGAAGAGTACGCAATGTACATTGCCGAGAAGTTATTTACAATACGCAACTAAGTTCAGTGTCATTTTGTAGTGCTAGGAAGTGGAGATTGTTGTGCGGAAAAATATTCAAAAATTATTGAAAACCAAGAAACTACCTAAGTCTGAAAATGTTTATGTATTTGCATAAAAATTTTTGGTATTTTGAAAGAAACCCAGCATATTTTTTAAAAACTGACTTTGTATCAAATCGCGCAAAAACTCGTCTACAGATCAAACTGCAAACGATTCTGGTCACTTGCAATATATGGCGTTAGTAGCAGTTTTATTCTGAAATGGCTGAAGTGTGCAAGAGTACGCAACTCGACGTGTTGCACGAGTACGCGCGTAGTCTCAGATCGTTCTTTTTACAATAGTGTACTTCTGAATTAAATTTGTCGCTGTGCCTCGTTCTTAAATCAAGTGAAACCTTTTGCGAGAGTCTAGTATTTTTGAAGATTTAACAGACCTGAGGCATGTGCTGCGAATCTGCCTGAAATATCGGCTGCAAGTGCGCCTAAAGCACCACCACCACTCTGAGGTATGTCGTGCCACAAGTAGACTCTTCTCAGCTCTCCACGAGCAAAGGCCCAGGCATACGGAGACAAAAAATCATATTACCAGAAAGGTATGAAGGTGATTCGTGCAACCGATAAACGAAGTCCTATCAAAAAAGGTGTTGTGTACTCGTACCGACACACATGCGTACTCTTACCTATAGTACAGTGTAAGAGTACGCAAATCCAGTTTTGCACTTTTTTATCAATTACAACCACATTATTAAATATAACTACTTTAAATATAACACGTTGTTATAGTCAGATAAGTAGACTATAAAATAAAACAATAGCAGATTTTCTAACACTTTTTGTTTTCATTCTACACCGTCTCAAAGCTTAAGTGCGTCGTCTTAAACCAGGGCTACCCTACTCGTGGTAGTGGCCCGTTTAACTCTTGCATGTATTCTCGACCTAAGATGTTTGAAATAAATATAGTAAAGAATAAATGTATTCAAATGTGCATTTACAAAGAGCAACCCCTAGAGTTTCTTGCTCATACTTCTCAGGCGTTATTTGCGACGATTTCAAGTGTAATTTGCGGTGGTACTAGTGGGAACGAAGGTATAGAGATGGTAAAGCATACTCAAATTTTAACGCTTACACCCTAAATATTTTCAAAACAATAAACAAAACACGCACATTCCCTTAATCTTTTCTTTGTCTCGGGGTTAACCAACCGTCGCGTATTGAAAGAGCCCTAACCTAATGCAGCCGGCGGGGGGCGAAGTCTCCGGGGGGCAACTTCGTTACACATGCGATTCGTAGAATATTACACAAATACCCCTAAGAGTAGGTATGGTATATGTATCTACCTACATATGCTTAAACAAAAAATACTTATACCAGCTTTATGAAATAACTGACATCGGTTCACAAATAGCGGAGTTATCGCGTAACATACATACAAAAAAAACATATAGTCGAATTTAGAACTTCCTCCTTTTTTTGAAGTCGGTTAAAAATATATAGTATTTTACCTACCTACTTATAATTAGTACAGCCAACAGGACATCAAGCTTTACACTTTTGTTCGAATATCCCCCTCCAGAGCATCGAAACAAGAACCGTCAATGTGTAGTTCGATATCATGTTATCCGTAACTACGTACAATGACATTTCCTTTACTATTCAGATTTTTACATAAGTTTTACATTATGACATTGATGTTTTCTGTTTCTTAAACAATAAGATACTGCCACCTTTACTCTGAATAAAATTAAGGTCGTTTCTCATTTTTCCAAACTCGAATCAATATTGACATCAAATAATAATTATAAATTACGCACAGACTCATAACCTCACATTAGGAAGACCATGTATCGTAGGTGCCATAGACAACCACAAATTACACCAAAACGAACGAAAGAAATAAATGTAAGCCATACAAAATATTTCTCCGGCCCGGGAATCGAATCTGGGACCTCGGTATGGCAGCCCAGCATGGTAACCGTTCGGCCACGGAGGCAGTCAAATCTGTAAAATTATACTTGTGTTATCATTGACCTATTTGTTAGGTCAATGTGTGTCATTTAATTATATCTCTTTGCAATTGAAATGTTATGGAGTTGTAATAATAAGGCAATCCACGATAAGAAATCCCCGTAGTTCACCTAGGCACATAGGTGACCTGTGGGGAAAACAATTTGCCGATGGTCCACATGTATCTTTTGGTTTTGGATTTTCAACGACTTTTTAGCCGTAGCGCCATCGAAAGTATTTCGTCACCCAGTTAGATACCTTTACAGCTACCAGCCCTGGCTAGACATGTCGCTATTCACTGTATTGAAATTTTTTATTGAATTGATATTCAATTATTTTTTATGTGAAATTACTCCTTGATAAATGACTTTGAATAAATTTTTAAGGTCTTGAAATTCTTTAGATCCAATTTCTCCCAACATCACCTCATCCTGTTCACTAAAAACGGGTTAATGATAAAAACAACCAATAATTTAATACTTTATTAAAGAAATTAAAAAATATTTAACATTTGATACGGTTCATATACATACGATAACGCAATAATGCAAAGTGCCTCATCAATACCGAACTTATCACGATCAATTTAATGACAACTACTTTATGTCTAAGATATAATAATTCTTGAACAGGTTATAACGCATCGTTTGTTTCATTGAAATAACATGTTTGTCTTAGGTGAAGTACAATGTTGTATACGCGCTACTGCCCACCTATTATTATTGAGTAAGTTTCAACACCCGGTAACAGAGCTCCCAGTATCTCCATTTCACGCGCAGCTTACTGTTCGTCTATTTGAACTAGAAAGGTTCAATACACATTTTCCATCATAAGAATAGTTCTGAAGACATTGTTATTAAAGCCTTCTGAACACCATTAAAATAGCGTACGTTCTCGAACAATTTATATAAAGTAGACAAAAATATATCACAGGTTTCTGCACGCTTTGACCTTTTTTTTCTCGCCATAAGTTCACATGACTATATTAACATTTTACAACATTTCACTGAGTCTACAAAAGTCAGTATGATACGAGACAGCAAATAACACACTATACAGGATTATTTGTAAAATACAAACGGGACTACATTACTAACATCATAAACAACAACTTTCCTTCCACTACTTTTGATAATCCATCAGATTTTTCTTTCATACAAAAATTACAATATTTAAATGGTACGCTCTAAACAGTCCTAACTCTGCGCGTGAGGACGCTTGCACATTTCAACTTAACCTTATTATCAATAATTGATTATAATTATTCTATAATTATTATAGATCTAAAAAGTGTTAGATAGTATAACAAAAACTTAAATTTATTTTTAGTAAATTTATTATATTTTGTAAAAAGGCATAATAGAAAAATTATTGTTTATGATGATGACGTAATATAGACCTGGGAGGTTGTAAGAATTTTACAAATAACAATGAATAATAGAAAAATAAATACATGAATTCGATTAACTAAAACTAAACTATGTACTGGGCGAGATTTTAAAATAGAAGCAGACATAGCAATACACAAACCTTCCTGGTTAAACACTGAAATTTCCTAATATCCAGAAAAATGCAGTCACATTAAAAGAAACAATTGATGCAGTTATTTATATAAATAACTATTACATGGCGTGTTCAAGCCAAAAAAATCACACTTAATAAGAATCACGAGAAAGAACGAATTTAAACTTAGTTGTCATATACACAAATTTTAACGCCGAATGAACACATCATCATCGTAAATAAAAATTTTAAATGTTCTACATTGGCACCTGCTGCTGCTGCAATTTGCCCAATTTGCTAAAACCAATACTTCGCCATTAACGTGAATTTGATTAGAGTCATGGAACATTTCGCTGCTTTAGCGCCAAGTCAGTCAATTAATTTCGGCGTTGCAAACCTAAAGCTAGTTTCTTCTTCATCAATAATAAAAAATATTTACTCCCATTTTTTAAATTTGGCGCTTCTATTCATACCAATGAGAAATTATTTTTATCGCCTCAAGTATCATTTTAGTTTTTTTTTAGATACTTTACAAATGTTATATTTGGTATGAAAATAATTGATAACCTTTACTTTTTTTTTGCCTTGTCTTTTTCTTTCTCTTTGGCCTTCTTCTCAGCAGCGGCCTTGGCTTTTTCTTTCTCTTTGGCCTTCTCAGCGAGCATGGCCTGCTTTTTCGCAGCTTTTTCTGCTTCTATCTTTTTCTTTTCTGCTTCTTTCTTTTTCTTTTCTTCTTCTTTCTTTTTCCTTTCTGCTTCTTTCAGCTCTTCTTTAGTCGGAGGCGGACCGAAATTCGCGTAGTACAATTTGTGAGCGAGAAATTCTGTTATGGCCAGGCCTATGGGAAACAACATATTCACGTAGCTGAATCCGAAGTATGTCACAAGAGCACTTCCGGCAGTGTACCACGCATACTCATGGCAGGTATGCTTAATTGCGTAGTAGCAAAGAGAAATAACGTTAACGGAAATGGCAAAGTTTGACAAGTGTGGGCTGTCGTTGCCAGACACCGCGACGGCGAATGGGAGCAATCCTGTAGCAAAGTGGGCTACGCTGATGTACTTATTTTCGTAGTTAAGATCGGCCATGAGACTTGGTAAGGCTAAATACTGCACGGCCATCTTGGTGATCCTATATACTGGTTGAACGTTTAATCCGGTAATTTTCGCTAAAACATAATAAATTAAGTTTATACACGAATGTAAAGGTATATACGAATTCAAAGTCGTATTAAATTATCGTACACTGAGAATGATAACGTCACTATATAAAAACCGACATTTTTTTATTTGTAACGCCGTCTTGGCTTTGTGAGTACGAACTTTATAATGCAAAAACCCCCGTGCACATTGTTTGCCTAGAACTGGCTAGATGATGTAGTGACGTTATGCTGTATAAGGGGAACGGGGCATAGGAGACGGCGTGATATCGACATTTTTTAGTAGTGGTAGAGATGGCAGAGATGTTGAACAGTTTGGTCTTATTTCCCCTAATACCACCTCAGTAACCGATTTACCAAAAAATGCGTTCATTAAAAACAATCAATAATATATACTTTAAAAAAAAATGTTTAACATTTGTTACGGTTCATGCAGATACGATATGCAATGATGCAAAATGCTTCATCAGTACCTAACTTATTTCCGGAGTGTTCCCAGAATTTACGATCAATTTAGTTAGGACTATTTTATGCCTAAGATTAATAACAAATAGACTGGAATAAAGCGCACATAACCATAGTGTTGAACCGGTATTAACTCTTCGCTTATTTCAATACAATAACATGTTTTTCTCCAGCTCAAGTACAATATTGTATTCGCGCTAGAGTTCACCTATTCTTATACAGGGTGATCAAATATTGCGAACTTTCAAATCCCGATAACAGAGCTACCTGTATCTCCATTTCACACGCGGCTATAGAGTACCAATTTGAACAATTTATATTAAGTATTCAAAAATATTTGACAGGTTTCTGCACGCTTTGACCTTTTTTAATTTTTTTCTCGCCCTAACTTCACATGACTTTAATAACATATTACAACATTTTACCTAATCTAGAAAAAACAGCATGGCACGAAACACACCAAATAACAACACTGTGTTATAAGAAATGAGAAAAGTAAATATGTGAATTCGATTTAACTAAAACTAAACTGTGTATCAGTGGGCGTTGTTTTAGAAAAATTAAAGAAGTCATAGCAATGCACAAACCAACCTGTATAAACGCTCAAATTTTCTAATATCCTGAACAATGACGTCACTAGAAAAAAACCAATTGATGCAGTTATTTATATAAACAACTGTTACATGGCGTGCACAAACGAAAAACACACTTTCTTAACACGATTCACGAGAAAGAACTTAAACTTAGTTGTCATATACACAAGTTTTAACGCCGAATGAACACATAATCATCGTTAATAAAAATTTAAAAGTTCTACATTGGCATATAGCTGCATTTTGCCCAATTTGTTAAAACCAATAAATATATCTACTTCGCAAGTTACGCGAATTTCGTTGGAGTCATGTATACTATCACTACTTCAGTACCAAGCCAGTCAATAAAATTCGGCATTACTAAACTAGCTAGCTCTTTTATCAATAACAAAAAATATTCACTCCCATTTTTTTTAATTTAGCACATCTATTCTTACCAATGGGAAATTATTTTTAAAGCTTCAAGTATCATTTTAGTTTTTTTTTAATAATGTTACATATTGTATATATTGGTATGAAAATAATTTGATAACGTTCACTTTTTTTTGGACTCTTTTAACTTAGCTTTTTCTAAATCTTTGGCTTTCTGAGCCGCGATCTTGGCCGCCTTTTGCGCCTCTCGTTCTGCTGCTTGCTTGAGTCGTTCTGCTTCTTTCTTTCGACGATTTCTTTCTTTGAGCTCTTCTGGAGTCGGAGGCGGACCGAAATTCGCGTTGTACAATTTGTGAGCGAAATATTCCGTTATGGCTAGGCCTACGGGAAACAGAGCATTCACGTAGCTGAGTCCGAAGTATGTCACTATGGCACTTCCGGCAGTGTACCACGCATACTCATCGTCGGAATGCTTAATTGCGTAGTAGCAAAGAGAAATAATGTTAACAGAGACGGTAAAGTTCGATAGATGTGGGCTGTCGTTGCCAGTCACCGCAACGACGAAAGGGAGCATTCCAGTAGCAATGTGCAATAGGCTGACGTGCTTATTTTCGTAGTAAAGATCGGCCATTAGACTTGGTAATGCTAAATACTGCACGGCTTGCTTGGAGACTGTATATAGTGGTTGAACGTTTAATCCGGTAGCTGTCGCTAAAATATAATAAATTAAGGTTATATACGAATGTGGTGGTATACACGTATTCAAAGTCGTATTAAATTATAATGACAATTTTGAAGAGATTTATCTTTAGAGCACTTGCGTGATCCCACGATATTCATTGACCATTAATACTTATGTATATGCACATCTAGCAGGTGTATAACGGACTCCTCGAAATAAAATAAAGTCTAAATCTACACCCAGCCTTTACAGTGGTGGGCTTACAGCGCACGTGAGCGCAGGCTCTTCAGCCGGGTACTCATTAGCTGTAACTGTAATGAGACAAAGTAACGAGGTTCTATAGTTTAAAGACAAACTTCAGTTGTCACTTGGTTAACCGGTGAAATACAATAATTACTGTTGTACTCTTTAATTTGGTCGCATGGTATTAGTTATCATTTTTATAGGCTAGATTTTAGGTTGTTTATCGTAGGAAACTTGTGATAAGTGTTATTAAACATGTTTAATGAAATACTATATTTATATTATACCGGGTACAACAGAATGACCGACAAAGCCGAAAACTGTGAAGAGTCTTAAATATGTATACTTAATTGTACTCTTAAGTGTAATTAATAGTTTCCGAGTTATTCAATGATAAAGATTTGCTTAAAAGGTCTGTGTTGTCAATCTTACACCAAAAAGCACAGCTGTTTGGAGGCAACTACTGGGAGGTACTCGGGACAGAGAACAAAAAAGTACCGAGAATGGAAACACTCCGCCCCTCCCTAGCTTTAGATACAGGACCACGCCCCGCACATTGACGGTCACATTGTCTGAACGGCAACAAGGCTGTCGGCGAGCCGTTTTTCATATTTGTATATAGTTTTCAATTATTCGTTATGAAATTTGTACGTTATCATATGACATCATTGTACGTTACTATTTATAATGGTCGCGAGTGTTGCTGTGTACGGCATCATCTAAACGGGATAAAGCGAGGAGTTTTTTTCGTTTACGGAAAGATGAAACGAGTAAATAAAAAAACTTATATTTGAGACTCATTCAGTTATTGTTTTCTTCATTTATTTGGTGCAAAATACTATTAAAATACAGATTTATCACATCAATATAAAGGGATGTAATAAAGTAGACAAGGGTTCTCGAGTGTTCAATTTGTATTGCCGATAATAAATATGTAGTGAATATAATTATTTACTAAGTAATGATAAAGTTGAAACGCAATTTCAAATACCTTGGTTACCTTACTTAAAAGTACCTATCTAAAATATAACATTTTAGGTGCTTCTAATTTTTTTTTAATAAACCAAGATGCTCCACCAACAAGAGTGTAACTTAAGTTTGATGATGATGAAATAAACCTTCAGGATTATTCTAGTTAGTGAATTAATGAAAAAAGAATATTATATTGATATAAATACCTAATTAACATGTGTAATTATTAGAATTTTATTAATAGAATTATAGATAACAGATTCGCACTAGAATTTTCGCTATGTTGCCGCTCTGACCACGTACGAGAAAGTAATGGGCAACCCTGCCACTTCACTTGTGTGCACATTTGTGCGTGTGCAGATAGCGCCTTGCTGTATGTAATAGTAGTAGGTAAATAACTTTCGACTGTTGCATGGAGTGTCCGGGGTGTGCTCAGGGCAAAAAGTTTGAAATTTAATAGGTCGTCGACCTCTGCCGTCAATCAGGACCCCATCAGTCACTTTCTTTGACCAATCATCAAGTGAATAATGATTTATTATGCGGGTAATAAGTAATTAACACTCCTAAATTCCCAGACCCAGTACATTTACCGAGAAAATGCACCTCTCATAGAATCTTCGGGAGACATATGCACATGACAACTAACATAGTATTATTTCAAAATTGCTTTAAGTTACATTAATATTACCTATTTAATTTCAAACCAACAGTGTTGTCCTCACACTTTGAAAGTATACGAATGATATACAAATATAGCAAAATCTTGGGGGAGAAATTATTAATATAACGCAATTTGGAGATAATATACAAAATAAGGGAAATTTTTAAGATAATACTACGTTAGTTGTCAAGTGCGATATTGTTTCTAAACTATGCGACTGTCGTGTCTAGCTGTTCCTACTAGATCGTGACGACAATTTATCGTTTCACGGCAGCCGCGTTGTCGTTTGCACGACAAAGTCGTTTGATGCACTGCAGCTCAGATTACAAAACCTAGGCAGATGGAGCATACGCAACAAACGATGTGAAACCGCTTTTATGTGCTGTGACCATTAAGTCTGATTAGTGATATTTGCTTTAGTCTAGTTGGCAACACTGCTTTCCCATTCATCAATTAGTTCAAAATGACCGGCTATATAGTTTCCTGTTTTTCTCGTGTTTACAACACAAACAACGTTTACTTATTATTTTTTTGGGTTGTGACAGCAACTTATTGGAATACTGCCGTTATTAAGTAGTGTTTGTGTTAAGCAAGTAAAGTGTACACAGTGTTTGTGTGGAAAACCACGGCTTGTGACCGGCACACCCAGGAATGTGTCTGGAATGTCTGCAAGAGTAAAGAAGACGTGGACAAATCGAACATCCTTTTAATTTAAGGTAAGTTCAATGTAAGGCAAGCAGTTCTTTCTCACTTTCTATTTCTCTCACGAGTGCCAATGACACGAATGTCGCCAATGAGGCGACAGATGTACTAGCGCTATCATTCGCTTAGGGTTGTAGCAACACGAAAAGTTTACATCTGAACGAAAATTTTTCAACTGCTCTGGTTTTACATTTAAAGTAAATAAAACTCATGTATGTAGGGTTTTTAACGTGACACTTTCGGCTTTGTCGGTCATTCCGTTCCACCCTGGATATTTAGTACTATTTTAAATAGGTAGTTCGAAATGTTGTCTATTACCTGAAAATATAATCATATATTTATAAATATTAAAAAGTTAATACCGGATAATGCCTCATAAAATGCTTAATTACGGTTTATTTACATTAATCAAATAAAACTTTTTAGTACTTATATAGTGTGTACGTATGAAACAGTCGTCACTCACAAGACTAAGTACCTAGTTATCGTCGGCACACTACGAACCGCACGCGTTCAGCTAGTGGCAAGCTCGTGAACCCCGTACACAATGATTTTGATAACATAACATGCAACGCTTACGGTGACAGCTCCTAGTGAATACCCGGCTCTAGGGGGCTCCAAAGAGCCTGCGTCTCTCGCGGTACAAGTAACCGAGCTATTGTTTTTCAACATCGTTTATAATTGCACCATTTGCACCCAAATTTCTGATCACTTGGAGAATTGTATAACCAACTTAGTTCCATTTTGATCGCGAACCTACTAGAGGGCGCTTGGGTATTGCTTGCGCCCAAGCACTACATGGGCTAGCGTCGGCGCTGCGTGGTGCGCTAAGAATCAATGCACACGGCGTGTTTTATATGCGCCGACGACGCGAGTTTCGCGAACTTGTTTACGGCGCCGTAAACACGCGTCATTTGCGCGTATACTCGCCGCAGAAGCGCTGTAGTGAATCGATTCAAACGCGCGCAAACATCATATTACAAGCAAGAAGCTACTGGAATTTACACTTAAAATTTAATGTAGTTGCTTCATTTCAAAAAACTAACTGAAAAGAACAAACTAAAGTGAAAACTACCTTTTATCAAAATGCGCAAAAGCGCGTCTGTGGGGTGTAAACGCGCGTCGTCGGCGTTAATAAAATACGCAATGTACATAGGCTCTAAAACAGTAAGTAAAGAGAACAAGTAGAACTTGCAATGTCTAATTTTTGCGATTATTCACCTAATACAAGTTTCAGTCCAATCACCAACACTCGATCCAAATTAAATATCAATATGAGTATAGTACTTAATGCTGCTCGTGTGACAACGCGATTCCGCTTATAAATCATCCATATGCAATGTAGTATAGGAGCAACTATGCTCGCCTTCAGATACAGATGTATCCTTAGTGCGTAACACTAAGGTAAAGGTTAAAGATAAAAAAATAAACTAACACACAAAGTGAAATCCTCCCGTGAGTCCATGAAGGAGGTAGTTGGCATGCATCCCCGGATGGGTGAAACTCGTGCCATTTGTTGTGCCAAGCGCCTTAGTAGCCACCCCGGCCAACAAAATATGCCCAAAAGCCGCGATAATGTCATCTTCATTTTCATCCATAATCCTACTCCATCAATGAAACGGAAAAATTTATTTATCGGATTTCAAAAAAGGGTCTTAAAAATTTTATTCTAATGACAAATGCTGAAATTTTCGACTGTTTTTCCAAGAACTAAAGAGTTTTTTTTTATATTAATGGCTTTGCCTTCGCATTTAGCCAACGAAAGGGCGGAAAAGGAGAATTACAGATTGTGGAAGAGGCACGATATTTTGATGTAAAAGGATATGGTAGGTAGGGTAGGTGGGTAGCTATTATATATCGGCATACATATTAAAGCTTGACATTGTTATTTTCGATAAATAATGCCAGTACATTATGAACATTTTTGTTACATAAATAGAATAAAGTTGTTTTGGAGGTGGGGAGTGGGGAACTGATGGCCTGGAGTTCGGATATGAAAGTGTCGTGATCAATTAAGGTGCAGGAGAAGAAGATATGGTTTAGATCCCCATAGGCCTCATGCCGCATAAGCATCCAGGGTCAGGAACAATATTGAGTTTGGAAAGGTGCGCTGGGTTGTCACGTGACCAAGTCGTAGCCTACAAATAGTGGAGTTAGGGTCGTATTCTAGAACTCTACTCAAAGTCAGGATTTGAGCAGACTTGAGTATGATTTCAAGCACTGGAAATACGACCCTAATGGCAAGGACTTGAGTATGATTTTCAGTGCTCACTGCAATACTCAAGTCCTGACTTGAGTATTGAGTAGAGTTCTGGAATACGACCCGTAGTCTTTTTGTCAAATTTCATCTTGATGAACTATAGTTTAGGCACCAGTCTCCACAAATTGCTATTTCATAAGATCAAATTGTTCGTTGGTTACATCTAAATTTTGTGGAGGAAATAAAGAAATTTATTATTATTATTATTATTATTATTATTATGGCTTGCGAGGAATTAACTCTTTCACTCTTGAATCAAGCGGTAGTGCTTCCCTTTGGAGATATCTGTCATCCAGCTTCTATTCCATGCCTCGAATAAATATCGTTTCGGTAGGTTTGCCAGGATCCCGATTCAGAACTCTTCGATATTTTAACCGAATCGTTCGATTGGACATCGTTCTCGAATCGAAGGGCGCTTTCCGAGCTATTCAGAACATTCCGAGTTAAACGTTAGATTCGGATACGATTTCGTTATCCAACGGCGTTTACTTTTATACACATTTTTAAGACTTTAAAGGCCTACAATATAAGAATTAGTGTTGCATTAAAATAAATTAATAAAATTGAACAATAGCCAATAGCTTTACTTAAAATAATAAGAGACTTCCATATTACATTCTTGCTTCGTAAACAATAGGACGTTCGGTAACTTTCATTCGGTAACTGTGTTCTGAATAACGTTTGTAGCCTTTGCCGGTCGAGAAGTTCGAGTACCTAATCGTACGGATGTGACGTCATTTCGGTTCGGTTTCGAATACGACAGTGTGACGTTCGATTCGTGTGTTGCGAATTAAAATGAAAAGAAATCGGTCGACAACTGAGTTATCGTAAGGTTCTGAATCGACCCCCTGGTCATGGCTATAGTTCGCGTAAAGATGGATGTTCCCGTCCCGAACAGCTTCCTTTGCCAACCTGTCAGCTTCCTCATTGCTAGAGATGCCTGCATGACCCGGGATCCAGGCAAGAGCGACGACGTAGTCCTTCGACGAGCATTAGAAGAAGAGATTTCTAGTTTCAAAAATAACAGACGCTTGTTTATGGCTTTTAAAGGTAAACCGCGTTAGCGCCTGTAGAGCGCTGTGTGAATCACTGAATATTATTGCTTTTGACAGTCTCATTATAATCACACATTCAATGGCTTGCAGTACGCCGAAGCATTCACCTGTAAAGACCGGTAAATGCGGTAATTTAAATTACCGCCAGAGTCCTCGATTATATAGTTATAATTATGCAGTAATAATTCAAAAAGTTCACTTTTTTTTAATTATTACTATATAATTTATTTAAAATAAATTATGCATCTTCTGATTACAAAATCACTTGCCCGTGGAAGGAAACGTTCCTGTTTACCCGTTTACCGACAGTTATGGTGCTTTTGCAGTTTATAGTGGCACAATTATGCATTTTTCGCGTTTTCGACTGGTGTTTTTTTATTTGCAAACTACGGAAGAAAAACCTATCACTTTGATATCGTCTTCGATATCCTACCCTCCGATTAAAAAACTGACCTCAAAAGTCATTCATCCCCTAGTTTGCCACCCTTAGAGGTGGAATATTTTCTTGAAATTTAAATGGGACCACATCTGAGGTACCTTCTTTCCAACAAAAAGAATCATCAAAATTGGTTCACAAACGGCGGAGTTATCGCGTAACATACATACAAAAAAAAGATACAAACGAATTGAGAACCTCCTCCTTTTTGAAGTCGGTTAAAAATTAAAGGGTGGATCGCAGCATTCTACTTGTAGGTATGTTATTGGACTGGATTTCATTGCCCCCGTGATTATTCTGAGTGCTTTTGATTATACGTTCTCTAGTTTTTAAACCGACTTCAAAAAAAGGAGGAGGTTCTCGATTCGTCTGTATGTTTTTTTGTATGTATGTTACGCGATAACTCCGGTATTTGTGAACCGATTTTCATGATACTTATTTCGTTGGAAAGAGGGTATCTCCATAGTGGTCCCATTTAATTTTGAAGAAAATCATCCACCTCTAAGGGTGGCTGTTCACGCATGAAGATTCATTTTTATAAATAGCGCCTAAATTTTATTATAAGCAGCAATTAATTTAATGGTTGATTTTGCTATTTTCCAATTCAAGGCGTTTTTCTCTCTCAATATACTTTGAGAAGTGAGAACCGATTTTGATCATATGTTAGTGGCGAACTAGGGGATGAATCCGGGTTTGCGCACTACCCGGTAACCGATTTCAATAAAACATTGTAATTATATGTAATTCCACGTAGTTTTGAGGTCGGTTTTTTTAGTACTCTGTACTGAGATTATTTAAGACTCTTACATTGTCAGGTAGCAAGAAGGTTCCGTAGTCGACGGCGCTCCTTATTAGGGCGTTATACAAAAGTCTCATGGTAAATGGGTGGGCACACCACCAGACGCCAGAGAGGCATCTTAAGATATTCAGATTGCCTTCACATTTCGTCAAAGTGTGTTCACAATGCGGCACTCCCGAGAGTTTTCAGTCCAATATTACTCCTAGAATTCTTAGATTTTCGCGATTGTTGCACATAGGAAATGAAACTATTTTTCCGGATTTTAATCGCGTATATTTGTTTTTTCAAACAAACCGACATTTCAGGCCCTTTACAGGTCCCATGGTCACGGTTGACTGAGGTGGTACAGTCTTCTACCAGTTATGTCTAATATTGATGCAAACTACCCTATTTTTTCACTATAGTTACAATAGTTTATTTTTAATTTTACAAAGAAAACATTCCAATTTACGCTACATTAAGTTTTACAAATTATTTTATTGAATGAATTTTTGTTAAGTTCAATTTATTATTAATTAATAATAGAAATTAGAATAAACTAAAACATATTAATTAGTACTGAAGTCTTAACATATGACACCCAAATCCCAAACAGACATCTGTTTGGGATTTTTCATTAGAGGAAATACTGGATCCCAAACTGGTGGTACGGAGAAACCATCTTCCCTGTTGAAATTAGGATGTTTTTTAATTTCAATAGTCTCTCGCAGCATCCTGGGTCAATAACGGGCTTCTTTTGCAAGAAATGGTAATTCCCATCGCCATCCTAGCTAGTTAGCTACCGAGAGCAAATCTTTGTTTCAGAGAGCACATGGTGTCTGCGACAATAATCATCTGGCAGGGGAACTTCAGCATATAAAGCAAGTCCAATATGCGAATAAGTTGAAGATTCCACGCCAATGCCGCAGGCCCGATGTGAAACCACCAACAGTCGTGCGAAAATCTGCCATCTTACCTTACGTGAGAGGTGTTAGAGACAAGATCGGAAGAGTCCTCAGGCGTGCATGTATCAAGACCTATTTCAAGCCCCTGAGGCAGATTTCTCAGTTCCTGAGACCCGTGAAATGTAACGTCCCCTTACAGGATGCAAGAGTTAGCTTGACTGTGAGTGCGGTCACTCTTATATTGGACAAACAAAGCGAAGTATTTGTACCCGCGTCAAAGAACATATCGCTGAGTCAAACAACGTCGCGCAAACAAATCTGCAGTCTGCGAGCTTGTCATGGATAAACCTACACATTCAATGAAGTTTGACAAACCCCAGGTCCTTGCAAAAGAAGCCCGTTATCTACCCAGGATGCTGCGAGAGCCCATTGAAATTAAAAAACATCCTAATTTCAACAGGGAAGATGGTTTCTCCGTACCACCAGTTTGGGATCCAGTATTAGAGGTAATAAAAAATTCCAAACAGACATAAGACTGCAGTACTAATTAATATGTTTTAGTTTTAATATTAATATATTCTAATTTCTATTATTAATTAATAATAAATTGAATTTAATAAAAATTCATTCAATAAAATAATTTGTAAAACTTAATGTAGGGTAAATTGTAATGTTTTCTTTGTAAAATTAAAAATAAGGTATTTAATTAATAACTATTGTAACTATAATGAAAAAATATGGTGGTTTGCATCAATATTAGACATAACTGGTTGAAGACTGTACCACCTCAGTCAACCATGACCATGGGACCTGTAAAGGACCCGAAACGTCGGTTTGTTTGAAAAAACAAATATACGCGATTTAAATCCGGAAAAATAGTTTCATTTCCTATTACTCTTACAAATTTGCTTGTTCTTAGCTGGGAGGGACCTATCGCCATATTTCACATTCATGACAGGAGGCATCAATTTCCTTGAGAATAGAATGGCAGAGCTTTTGGATGGGGATAGATCTAGGCCTAGATCTAGGCAAGACTGTCGCTAATCTGCTGAATACAATGCCCAGAGACATACATCAGTAAGTCGTCCGCATACTGCAGGACACTTGAGTACCTGCTGATGGAGCTTTCCAGATCGAACGTATAAATGTTGTACAGTATTGAACTCAAAACAGAGCCCTGGGGTAAACCTTTACAAATGGTTCTATAAATAACTGTATGGTCGGTCAAGTCATCTCTCAGATAGCGTATTGATTATGAAATTCAATAAAGGGGGCGGGATGTTCAAGAGCTCCTACTTGGTTTTTAGTATTCCGATATTGACATTATCGTTAGAGTTATGTATAGGTAGAGATATATTTTTTTTTATTTTTTTTTTTATAATACCAAGTGACGGGACGAACAAGTCGTGAGCCTGGTGGTAAGCTACACGCATGCCCATAACAGTTGCAGTGCCACCAAGAGCTTTAAATTACAAAGATCTTGGGGGCACTGCCTCTGCGCCCGTCACCCTGAGACATAAGTTGACAAGTCCCATGTGCCTGAAATTTCACCAGCACCCTTACCCTTCACAACCGGAACACAGTAATGTGACCATTACTGCTTGGCGGTAGAAATAGGTAAGGTGGCAGTACTTCCCTGGACGAACCTTTTCACAAGGAGCTCTACTGCTACTAATATTTATTATATGTCGAATCATGGGCGCCGGGGGTCCGTGGTGAGCCTACCTAATAACACGATTAACACGTTAATAATAATTATAACTTTTTTATTTAAAAAAAAGATCTTAAAAGTTTGCTTATAGCGGCTTTTTGGGATTGCATCTATTTGCCGAGTTTTATAGAAATCGGTTACCGGAAAGAGCACGAAAACGGATTCATCCCCTAGTTTGCCACCATTAGGGGTAGAATATTTTCTTCAAATTTAAATGGGACCAATACAGACGTACCCTCATCATCAAAATCGGTTCGCGTAACATAACAAAAAACAGTCGAATTAACAACTTCCTTCTTTTTTAAAGTCCGTTAAAAAATAGACGATGTTGGGACGTGTCTTTTCGGAAAGGGTCCTAGAGTACTTTGAAATTTTGAGAAGGGTCCATGACCAGCAAAAAGTTAAGAAACCATGTCATAGAGTATACATGTAGCATATTAATTAGCCAATATGTTTGGTAACGAATAGAAATCAAAATTTTTTTTTACCGACTTCAAAAAAGGAGGAGGTTCTCAATTCGTCTGTATGTTCTTTTTCTTTTTTTTTGTATGTATGTTACGCGATAACTTCGGTATTTGTGAACTGCTTTTCATGATTCTTTTTTTGTTGGAAAGGGGTACTTCCATAGTGGCCACATTTCATTTTGAAGAAAAGCACCCACCTCGAAGGGTGACTGTTCACGCATGAAGATTCATTTTTATAAATAGCGCCTAACTTTCATTTAGGAACAATTAATTACTTTAATGGTTGATTTTGCTATTCTTCAATTCAAGGCGTTTTTCTCTCAATATACTTTGAGTAGTGAGAACCGATTTTTATTATCTCCAGTGTCAAGTCCTGTATAGTGGCGAACAAGGGAATATTTCAATAAAACTTAGCAAATAGACGTAATTCCACTTACTTTTGAGGTCGGTTTTTTTAGTACTCTGTACAGAGATTATTTTCAATCAACGTTTTAATGAATGGGCTGTGCTCTTGACTACGATTCTCCCGTATTTTTTTTATTTATTACTTTTCCAACAAACTATTAATTTAACATAAAAGTAGCTAACAGTGTAAAATAACACATAAAATATTAAAAACCAATGGTAATATTCGACGGATATCAATTTTGGAGTTTCTGTCCAAGAAAATGAAGGCACTTCAAAAGTTACTCAGTACATAACTAAAATCTAGTAATATTAGTAGGCTATTGCATTGGTGTAACACCGCATGTAGACTATTAGTGCTCGCTTTTTGCATCGCCACTCGTCGAAACAATAGAAGACGAAACATTCGTGTCGAGTGGCTGAGATGCACTCTCACATTTGTGCGAATGGCGATGCGAATAGCGATGCGATACGATACACGCATAATTATATAAACGGTCAGCTCTCTATTCTTATCTTATTCTTACTCGCATCGCCTCTCGTGCGATCGCGTCGTGAGCGATTTTTCAAGCACGAGTCAAAAGACACGAGTAGCGACGCAAAGTTAGTGTTTACATATTCGTCCCGCTTCAGATAACAGCTAGCGCCCGACCCGATAACATACACCTTGCAAAATGGTTTTTTTTAGTAATAATTTGTTCAATTTTAAATCTGTTTATCTGAAGCAGGACGAATAAGTAGTGTTGCCACCTAGCCCAATGTAACTAAACCTAAGTAAAAAAAGTAATGCTGAAATTATTTCAGAAATTAATTCTGGGTAAAATTGCCTAAAGTGGCTATAAACAAAAACATAATTATGAGATTTCGTTTTTAAATACATGTTTTTCTTAACTTTATAAATTATAAATGGAAAAACAATTATCATCAATATCAATTAAATCATTATGATCTTGTGATAACGAAGGTTTTTATATAGTTTTATTTTCGTTTTTTTTCCAGTTTTTTACTTTTCTTACTAAATAAGCTAGATTTAGCTACCAAATATTTTGTTTTGTAGCTAACAATTTCGTAAATGTAGCTAGATATATAATAGCTAAAAGCCGGCTACAGTGGCAACACTGCGAATTAGTGTAACTTCGCGTCGACACTCGTGTCTAACTTCGCTCGACAAGTGGCGATGTCGCGACACGAATAACGGTGTGACCGTTTACATATTATGCGTGTGATACACGTATCGCATCACTATTCGCATCGCCGCTCGCATGAATGTGAGAATGCGGCATAAGATAATTAACTGGTCAATTAAAATTAAGATTTTTTAAGTGTTGCTGCTTTTTGGACTTTTTTAGCTAAGAAAGTTTTTTAGTATCGCAGTGTTATTGATAATTAATTGAACATATCTACTACATTTTTCTTTTAAATAAATGAATAAAAAATGTCACAATATTTTTTATTATTATTTTGCTAAGCTTATTTCATGCATAAATGTAGCAAAAAATTTGAAGCTGGTTAATTTTTTCTAGGAATAAAGTATTGATACTATTATGGCTTCATACTAATTCCGTACAAGTCTTTTATGATCTCATTTTGACGATAGTCTAAAATGACAAGTACTCAGAGCTGTACATTTGGTTTTTAAATCAATAAAAGGGCGGGCTTTCGAAGTTACAAGTACAGTTTTTAGAAAAAATAATTTTATTTTAAGTACCTATATTAAGAATATAACACGAAGAAAGTAATGGTGATGACGAAAGACGTAAGAATTATATTCCTTATTTTATACGAAAGAGTTTATCTTGAAAATTCCAATAATTACGAATTCAAATTGACAATAATGTGATATACGTGAAAGTGAAAACATAATGCATTAACCACAATGAAAACTATTCATTGAGGATCCCGAATGGCTCAAAGGGCTTATACCCCAGCCAAAACTCTTATTAAAAAAAACAAAAGTTGTTGGTTGTTGGTATTGGCAACACTGGTTTCAGCTGCCATTTTGCTTCTTTCTGAGTTTATGCCGTGCGTTTTTACAAAAATACCAACGTAAATCGTGGTGTGTCGTTACGGAAGGTGTTTGGTATTCAATATTAGTGTTAAAATAGTAAAATAGATAATGGCTGCCAGCGATTCAGGGACGGATGAATCATTGTATCCTATTGCGGTACTGATTGACGAGTTGAAAAATGAGGATGTTCAGCTGCGTTTGAATTCGATCAAGAAACTCTCCACTATCGCGTTGGCCCTGGGTGTAGAGAGAACACGCTCGGAATTGATCCCTTTCCTCACGGAGACCATTTACGATGAGGATGAAGTGCTGTTGGCTCTCGCCGAACAACTTGGTAAATATCTTTTTTCATGTCTATTTCTCTTCTTTTTTCTCATTCGTATCGATAAACCCATACTTTGTTACTTTTAGTGTCTATAACGTTAGAATGCTTTCAAGATGACCATTTTCTCTTCTTATCTAACTGATTCAGTGCTCATGATTAGTCATAGAAGTAAAGTTTGACAACAAATCAGATCCGCCATAGTCTAGAAATTCGCATACCTTATTTTTAGCACTAAAATAGTTTTAAACAACATAGAACGATACCTTTTTAATATTGTTAGTTTTTATCTGAATGTAAGATCTCTCCTTGTGTTGAGATAATTACACTACGCAAAAAGCTCTCGGTTCTCTATGAGTCTTGTGCATCAGTATATCCAGGGTGCTGTTGCCGATGCACATATAGTTAGGTTTGAATGTTGTTTGGAACATGAAAATGAAGCGGTATCTTCAATGCGCAGAGTGTGTGGCAGTTACAGCATTATGAGTATCATTACTGACATGTTCCACCTGTTCATGTTCATTCCTTGGACACCGGACCAAATTTCATGTGTACCCCAAACCTAGTACATATTTTTATAACATGTAATTACTAACAATAGAGTGTAAGTTTTTTTTCTTCTGCTGACCAATATAGATGAATAATCAGAAAAATATTATTTGAATTTGAAAAAAATAACCCATTATATTTATTACATTATTAAAAGTATTTTACTGTGATTTTAAAATTGCTTCTGTATTTCATAAGATTATGACATTCTATTCATATAAATTTAAAACAGTTTATTACATTCCTTTATTTTTAATTCATCATGAATCTGCTACTTTATTTATCTGTAATATTTCAACTGGTGGACAATTTAAAACAATTTCAGGTTTTTAAAAGCAACAAGCCAAGATTCATACTTAAATGTATGCAATCTATAAACAAATAAATAGACTTAAATTCACGCAATGAATACTCATTTCATGAATTTAAGTATGACTCCTGCTTGTAACGTTGTATAATTAGTGTTGAAATTATTTTTAACTGCATTAGCTTCTACTAGTTCAGTATTTATTTAAACATAGTAACGGTTCACAAATAATGTACGATACTTAATAACTAATTTCATACTATAAACTCTTTAGCTTAGAACAAATGACAACTCGCACCCCTCATGGAAGAATAGCATAAGTGGAGTTACATCAAAAATGTTTATTGCTCCATTAGATATATTACCCACATCCTCTCCAAATCTTGTAACTCTATCTACAGTATTAGTCGTTGGAGTTACAAGAATTGGAGAGGATGTGGTTATATTTTTCTGATCTAATAGAGCAATAAATGTTTTTGACGTAACTCCACTTATGCCATTATTCCTTGAGGGGTGCGAATTGTGCACAATATTGAAATGAAATAGATTTAGCTAAATATCCTATTTAAAAATAAACAAGAACTTGCATAAAATGAAACAAAATAGAACTTTGAGGAAACCATAAATTAAAAAGTTACAAAAAATAAATAAAATACATGCATCTTGAATGTAGTTGTAAGATGCACACTATAAATGATTATAAAGATTGCTGAAATATGTCTACCTCAGTATCTTATTTCTAAGAATATTTATAATATAAAGAATATTTCTATATTTTCATGAAAATTGTTGGTTTGTTAATGCTGCAGTGTTGTAGCCTTACTTAAACCAGGTTTTTTTCCTATAAATGTGTTTATTTTTTTATTAATAAACAAACTAAGTAAATTGTTAACTACAAAACCAGTCTTAAACTACTAGTACTAGACAGCATTTTACCAATTTAGAAACAATATGAAACGATTCTGATATTAATTTTTACTTGTATTTAGATTGTTTTGTACAATGTGGCATGAAGAAGACACCGCACAGTAAAACTTCTACTACTAAGATATGATTTTTTTTGTTTTACAGGCAACTTCATCAACCTGGTGGGAGGTGGAGAGTACGCACATTGCCTGCTTCCTCCACTAGAGTCTTTGGCCACCGTAGAGGAAACAGTGGTCCGTGACAAAGCTGTAGCATCACTAAGGGCTGTTGCTGCACACCACACTCCGCAAGCTTTGGAGCAGCATTTCGTACCACTTGTACAACGACTTGCTGGTGGTGACTGGTTTACATCTAGGGCATCGGCTTGCGGATTGTTCAGGTACATACCTTTAGGATATTACAAACTCAGTTTTGAATTTTTTTTTATTAGCCCTGCACTAGGAAACGCAGTGTGTAGCAGTTTGCCATGGACACACACATACACAAACACAAATTACACCCAAACCACGAGTATGTGTAGGCCATACAAATATTTCTCCCTGCCCGGGAGTAACAGGCTTAACAGTTACCAGTACGGTAAAGACAGAAAGGTTCTTGAGATCTGTATTATATTTGTTAATATCTTATGTCCCGGATGATGGTGATGGAGAAATTCAACTTTGCATCAAATGTTCAACAAACTCTTTTAACCTGGCAGTGTTTGTTACCCGCGAGTGTCTGCACCTGTCAAAGCAGAGCTGCGTCAACACTTCCGCTCGCTGTGCCAAGACGACACCCCAATGGTGCGTCGAGCCGCCGCGTACAAGCTCGGCGAGTTTGCACGCGTCGTTGAAGTCGAATACGTCAAGAGTGACCTCATTCCCATGTTCGTCATTCTGGCACAGGTAAATACACTATATATGTGAACTTGAACCAACCGACTTTGAGAGTTTGCGCTGATCGGTAGGACTCCACAATGGTACGTTGTTAAATGCAGCTCCACATTGAGTAGTTTTGATGATGACACTATCGGTTATAAATTGTGTTACTAACTAGTATTTATATATTGGTTTATACCACTTACGCCTTGATAGCCTCAAGTACAGAAAACGGTTATTAATCTGAATCATTGACCCCGGCCAACTGAGCGGTCGCTGGGAAGTACCGCATTAAGTATTGTAGAAAAAAGAAATTGATTATGAGTTACACCGCTTTTGCGCTGACCGCCCCATTCGTGAAATGGAAGTTGTCAGCGGGGCTGACTGGAGCCGACCTCGCGTTGCAGGACGAGCAGGACTCGGTGCGGCTGCTGGCGGCGGAGGCGTGCGCGGCCGTGGCGTCGCTGCTGGCGGCCGAGGACATGGAGCAGCTCGTCATGCCCACGGTGCGCGCGCGCGCCGGCGACACCTCCTGGCGCGTGCGCTACATGGTGGCCGACAAGTGAGCTTTCTTTCTGTCTGCGAACGAGTCGTGTGCCTGGTGGTGGTGCAGTGCCGCTGCGCCCGACGCCTTAAGACATAACTTGACAAGGCCCATGTGCCTGTAATTTCACCAGCACCCATAGAAACCGGAACGCAATAATGTAGCAGAAATAGGTAAGGTGGCAGCACTACCCTGGACGAACTCTTTCACAAGGAGCTCTACTGCTACACTACACTTGGTACCTTGAAAAAAATCTTTATGTTTGTTACTTTAAGTCTATCACACTAACTTGGTAACTGGATTCTAGATTTTGCATACTTTCACGCAGATTTCTTGTATAAAATATAATAGTTGAAAATTATTTCATTGGAAATGAAACTATTTTTCCGGATTTAAATCGCGTATATTTGTTTTTTCAAACAAACCGACGTTTCGGGCCCTTTACAGGTTTCATGGTCACGGTTGACTGAGGTCATCAGGTACAGTTTTCAACCAATTATGTCTAATATTAATGCAAACCAGCAATTCATTTCATTGCTTTCATAACTACTTGTTGTTTTGTTAACGATAATTAGAAAGAAAGAAGGAAGTTTATTCACTGAATTTGAAACACTACACACACTTATATCTAAAATTACAACTAAAAAGAAAACAACTTATTAATTTAAGTGAGTAAGTGTGCGTAATTACTTGTTGATGTATTTATGCTTTAAAAATTTTTCGAAAAGGCCAAAGCGCCATTTCGAAAATTTTTTCAGAGGACCATACTTAGGTTTTAACGACTCTTCAAATATTTACATCCTGTTGTTTTTAATTAATTTTAAATTTGCATGTTATTTATTACTTACTTTGAGATCAGAGCAACGGATGTAATGTCTAATATATGATTCATATGTACACTGAAAATTACTCTTACTTTGGTGAAATTACACGCACGTGGGACTTTTCAACTTGCCTCAGCGTGACGGGCACAGTGGTAGTGCCCCTCAGATCTTTGCAATTTAAAGCGCTAAGTGGCACTGCAACTGTTATGGATAGGCGTACAGCTTACCATCAAGAGCACGACTTGTTCGTCCCGTCACTTGATTTTATAAAACAAAACTGATTTGCGTCGAAAAAGTCCAGTACGTTAAACAGCCTCCGACTACTTTCAGGTTCGTGGAGCTGCAGCAGGCCGTAGGCACGGAACTTGCACGGTCAGACCTGGCACAGATCTTCCAGGCGCTGCTCAAGGACTCCGAGGCTGAGGTGCGCGCCGCCGCCGCGGGGAAGGTACGCCACGCCACTCACATTCGCACCCCTCATAGAAAAATGACATACGTCAAAAACTTTTATTGCTCCATTATATACAGAAAAATATAACCAACACCCTTTCCAATTCTTGTAACACTATCTACAATATTTCTCAATGGAATTACAAGAATTGGAGAGAATGTAGGTTATTTTTCCTGTATCTAATGGAGCAATAAACGTTTTTGACGTAACTCCACTTGTGCCATTCTTCCATGACGGGTGTGATTTGCTTATGCTTAGAAAGGTATCACGTCACCGGTACACTCGCTGACCGAAGGCCAAACGGTTACCATACTCGACTGCCACGCATCAAGTCCCGGGTTCGATTCCCGGGCCAGGAGGAATATTTGTATGGCCTACATTTATTATCTAGGTGAAAGGTAACCAGTAAGACATACATATAGAGTATACTAGGAAAATGGTGTGAGTAAACCGTCTCTATCACCCTGTGATGACCTACTTCACTAATACAACACGATATTGTATATTAATTATGTCGACGCTCTTAACACCGAAATGGAAATAGGCTATATATTCCATTGATAACAAAGGTGTAGTGACTTTTTATTTGAAGTAACTTTTGGGCCTAAAAACCGACCTGAATAGTTCGTGGAATTACATCTGTTTGCCAAGTTTTATTGAAATCGATTACCGCAAAGTACAGTTTTACACATCTTATAATTCCTCGCGATGTACCTGCGCAGTAGATAAATTTTAGTAGCGCGGGAATATTCGATCTACCAATGCCGAAGTAGAATGCTACGCGCGCCAAAATCTTGCGCCGTTATTGGTAGATCGATTTCGCGGCAAAATCACTACTGGTCGAGCGTGCGTCCCCCATCTTGTTCATCAGTTTACGCGTAGACTGCAAGCGGAGCGTACGTTTCTTTTAGTTTCGATTTACACTTCGTGGCAAAATAAAGGGTTTTTTGTGTTAAGTCGCATTATGACTTTGTTAAAAAGAGGGCGACCTTTAAAGAGTCAAGCGAGAGAAATTATCTTTAATGTTCACCGATATATGGAAAAAGAAGCACAAAAAGCCAAAAATCAAGTTTTGAGTAAGGACTACTTTCAGCAAATTTTTAAAAGAACATCTGAAGCCACTGGTATTTCTACAAAAACAATTTCAAAGATTTTAAAAGAGCAAGAATCATCAGAAGGTGCTTCGACAAGTGCAGGCCCTTCGTTCAGCACGCCCAAAAAAGGACGAATGAAGAAAGCTCACCGCTTGGAGCTGGATGATTTTGACTATCAACTAATTCGACGAAAAATACACGACTTTCATTTAGTTGAAAAACAAGTAGTTACTGTAAATTCACTCTTGAACAATTTAAAAACTGAAATAAATTTCAGTGGGAGCAGAGAAACCCTTAGAAGAATAATGAGGGAACTAGGTTTCAAATTCAGAAGAGTAGAAACAAACAGAAAATTATTAGCAGAAAAAGATGAAGTGAGACTGCTAAGAATAAAATATCTTAGGGATGTAAAAAGAAACAGAGAAGAAGGCAGAGACATTGTGTACGCAGACGAATCATATGTGCACACGACACATACAAAAGAACGTGTCTGGTCCGATAAAAGTGGTAAGGGGCTAAAGAAGCCTATATCAAAGGGTCAAAGGATGATTATTGTTAATGCTGGTGGAGCAAAGGGATTTGTACCAAACGCTTTACTATTATACAAATCTTCTCAAACAACTGGAGATTACCATCATGAGATGAATAGAGAAAATTTCGAAAAATGGATAACCACTCAAGTCATTCCTAATTTGGAACCAAATTCTGTTTTAGTCGTTGATAACGCAAGCTATCACAATACCTTAATAGATAAAGCCCCAAACTCAAATTCAAACAAATCGCAGATGCAAGAATGGCTAAGAAATAAAAATATTGATTTTAATCCAAAATCATTGAAGCCTGAATTGTACGAAATAATTAAACGGCACAAGAACGAATACATTCAATATTCATTGGACAGTATCATGGAATCACATGGACACAAGGTGTTAAGACTTCCACCTTATCATCCTGATTTTAACCCCATAGAAAATATTTGGGCACAAGTCAAGGGTCATGTCAGCAAGTTCAACGTCAGTATGAACCTTACCGAAGTAAAACGACTTTTACTTGAAAAATTTTCATCCATTACTCCAGAAGATTGGCGCAAAGTGGTCGATCATGCCATAAAATGTGAGGATGAATTTTTGACGACAGAAGAAGCACTTGACCGTCGTTTAGACGAATTTATTATTAATACCAATGATTCGTCATCGTCGTCAATCGATTCAAATGAGAGCAGTACGGACGACAGTGATTAGAAGTCAATTTTAGAAGGCGTTCATTCTTTAGAATAATCAATATGCACTGGTGGTCAGCATTGATATTGTCGCTCTTGAAATATAAATATATAGTATTTACTATTGTAAATTCTATTAATAACTAATTAATTTTGCATGTTTATAAATAAAACTAATTTGTGATTAACAAAAGTATTTTGTTTTATTTAAACAATACCGTCATTTAATAAAATTAAATAAATACCCCCACAAAATGTCCGACAGTGTACGAATTGTGTGAGCGGGACAAAGCTAACAATGCAACGCAAGCAATACTCTGCTATTTGCATTGTGAATAAAGTTCAATTTACATTATTCACACGTTCGGCTACAGTCGGAAATCAGTATGCGCTTTTCTGCGCAAACGAAAACTGCCGATCGGACTTATTAGTTGTGTAAAACTGTACGCGAAACCAGATTCATCCCCTAATTTGCCACCCCTAGAGGTGGAATATATTCTTCAAATTTAAATAGGACCAATACTGAGCTACCCTCTCCTACAAAAAAAAAAGAATCGTCAAAATCGGCTGACAAATGCCGGAGTAATCGCGCTCCTCCTTTTTTGAAGTCGGTTAAAAAATAGTATCTGTTTGTATCTAAGCACAAAACCGGTTTATATTGAACTCCCGACACTAGATATTTTACATAAGGTTAGCTTATACTGGCATTTGGATTAGAATTACCATTACTTACATTTTACAATTAGTGCGTCCGTGCGCATATATGGGCGCGTTTGCTCACTTAGTGATAATAGCAGCAAACCGGCACTGTAAACTGCCGTAGTTTATAGCATTATAGATGAGTCAAGGCCATTTTAGCATAAGTAGTTGCTAACTTGGCCTATATATAACGTAAACATTTTTTTTCCTATAAAGCGGGACACCTACAAATTTATTACTGTTTTAAAAATAAAACACTTGTTTAGTTACGAAATGTTTTGTGATTTAACAGGGAGCAGAGGAAAAATTCCTAATCTTCGATTTGATTTTAGAGGGGTATATCCACTTTAAAGTTAAAAATAAAATATTGTATGAGTAACTACACGATATATTCAAGCATAGACATTAATCAGAAACATAAAACAATAAAGTTTCCTCGATAGATAAAAATCACGAAATGACCTCTAATTTTCACATTTTTTCGATTCATCCTCGAAATGCTACAGGTTTAATAACCTTATTAATTTTTGTCCTAATGGACAAAAATTAGATAATTAATTATATTTATGCATGATCGACAACTGTCACTACGGATTTTTTTTTAATCCCTTTAGTTTTAGAGTTATTCCGCTAAAACGAATTTGGTACTTTTAATGCGCACAATTCTACATCTTCTGTCGCATTTCACGCGAACTTCAGGCATATATTTGTTTCACAAATGTGGGCGGAGCCAACGTCAAAACTTTTTTGGCATGCTCCCTCTTAAACAAAGGAACTAAAACATTTTGCTAATCTCAGTACAGAGTACTAAAAAAAACAACCTCAACAATACGTGGAATTCAAGTTTTATTGAAATTGAGTGCGCAAACTCGGATTCATACCGTAGTTCGCCACTATATGGAACTTGACACAGGAGATAATAAAAATCGGTTCTCACTACTCAAAGTATATTGAGAGAGAAAAACGCCTTGAATTGGAGAATAGCAAAATCAACCATTAAAGTAACTGCTCCTTATAATAAAATTTAGGCGCTATTTATAGAAATGAAACTTCATGCGTGAACAGCCACCCTTAGAGGTGGATGATTTTCTTCAAAATTATATGGGGACCACATTGACTTACAAATAAATGGACGACGGGTCTAATACAAAAACTACGAAAAAAATGTCCCAAGTCAACCTATTCGAAATTTAATTAAAAATTAAATTTGTAATGTCATCGCAGTATCGCGCTTTCAGTCGAACAAATGAAGACTAAAGCGGAGTTTGGCGCTCTGTATACGATTTTAGCGCCTTACAAGTGCGGACACTTTTTAGCGCGGACCCGACGTCCATATAATTGTAAGTCAATGGGGGACCACTATGAAGGTGCCCTCTTTCCAACAAAAAAAAGAATCATCAAAATCGGTTTACAAATGGCGGAGTTATCGCGTAACATACATAAATAAAACATAGTCGAAAAGAGAACCTCCTCCTTTTTTGAAGTCAGTTAAAAAAGTCTAGTCTTGTGTAGCCTGGTGGGCTGACTTTTTTCGGATGAACGAATTTGCTTTAATATGTATCGGCGTGATTTTTAAATTTATATGTCACGTGTGTCGTGTTACATCAAAGCGGGACATTTTGAAGTATTTTGAGTTTATTCCCAGTCGTCGCCACTGGCTTTGTTCCAACTGGCGACTAATGGGAAAAAAACTCATATTACCAGCTCTCGTAGCATGGCTACGCAAGATAGTCCCGATGTGCGCGATTAAATTTAAATAAGCGCGCGCTATTGGCTGTCTCAATCAGCCCCCGTAGCATGGCTACACATGATAGTCGCGACGCGCGTGATAAAATTTAAATAAGCGCGTGCTAGTGACAAATCACCTAAAATCGGGACTGTCCCGCACAAAACGTATGGTCACGTTATCTATGTATGATTGTGTTTATCTCCGTAAATGTTACTAATCAAGTTATCATACTAAATTTGTTTGTATTTTGCCCATGCGGTTTGTTTGAGTTCTACAAAGAATTTTATAAGAATAATCAAAAAAACTTATTGATTATTCTTGTTATTTTACTGCACAAACGTCTTTGTTATTCCTTGTTAGTCATCTAAGATACGAGTTTTTACTCTCGTCACAAACTTGCTTGTTTCTCATTTTCTACAATAATATACTGTATCATTTTCAGGTGAAAGACTTCTGCATGACCTTGGACAAGGCTCACCAGGAGCAAATTATTATGACGATGATCTTACCACAGATCAAAGATCTGGTCTGCGACCCCAACCAACACGTGAAATCAGCTCTGGCCTCCGTCATTATGGGTCTAAGCCCGATCGTCGGCAGGCAGAATACCATCGAGCATTTGCTGCCGCTCTTCCTAACACAGTTGAAGGACGAGTGCCCCGAAGTCCGTCTAAACATCATCTCAAACCTAGAATGTGTAAATGAAGTGATTGGTATACAACAGCTAGTCCAATCCCTTCTCCCAGCTATTGTTGAACTGGCTGAAGACACAAAATGGCGCGTCCGCCTGGCCATCATCGAGCATATGCCTCTGCTGGCCGGTCAACTCGGACAGGAGTTCTTTGACGAGAAACTCACAGGTCTTTGCATGTCCTGGCTCATTGACCACGTCTACGCTATCCGTGAAGCGGCCACACTGAACCTGAAGAAACTTGTTGAACAGTACGGACCGCAATGGGCCGAAACCAATGTCATACCGAAAGTCCTCGCTATGTCTCGCGAACAAAATTACTTGCATAGAATGACATACTTATTCTGCATCAATGTCCTTTCTGAGGTTTGCGGCAAAGATATTACTACAAGAGTGTTGTTGCCTACAGTCTTATCTATGGCTGATGATAATGTTGCCAACGTAAGGTTCAATGTGGCCAAATCCTTGCAGAAGATGGCTCCCTACCTTGATCCCAGTGTAATCCAACCTCAAGTGAAGCCAGTTTTGGAGAAATTGAACGTAGATCCCGATGTGGACGTGAAATATTTCGCTTCAGAAGCCATCGCAGGAATAGCTGGTTAGATTTAGTCAAAATATTTTTATTTACTACTCAATGCAGTCTTGGTTACTTCGGTGTCCTAAATTACAGCCTGACAAGTTTGATTTCATTATCATGTTGCACGATTCTCCAGCAACACAAACCAAGATGGTTAATACTTACCATTTCAAGATCAAAAGTAACTAGTCGGTTTTTACTTGAGTTTTACCTAAAATATGTACTCGGAATGTGCCATTGGTTACAGAAATATATAATAACAATACTGCATTGAGTAGTATAGTTTATATTGAACATGGGTATTTTATAAAATTAGTATTTATTCCAAACAAATCCCTGTATCAAGAGATTACTCGGTTTTGGATAAGGTAAACACGTGTTTCTAGAAAAAATATAGCTTCATTCCATAAGTGTGAATGTCTACTTAATTCATTGGTCATTTTAAAGCATTTAATTCTGCACTTGAAATTGTAATACGTAATGAAATTAAATATAATTATCACTAAAATACATTTTTTTGTTTTATTTTTGTTTAATGATCTTAGTTGCCCCGCGGGCAGGGCTCCGTCATTCGCTCAAGGTTACGCGATATGTGCCTACCGCTGAGTGTACCGACGTCGGCACTAGCGTGTGCCTTATTCCAGCGTGATCATGGTCGAGTTTTTGAAATTTGACTAGCCAGAAAAGTCTGCGTGAGCGGGTTCAAAAAAAAAGATATTGGCTGATTGGGATCGTGATGTTGCGTTTGACAATTTGTGTACTCAAGAATTAATAATTAATGTAAATAAGGATTCAAGTGATGATTCCCGTTCATATGGAGAAGAATCATAACCGTCAGGATGGCTGGCCGCCTGTCGCATCTGGCACTGAGTGTATATTCAAGAATTGCCACCTATTTGCTACCTTTGAAATATTCTGAGAAAAAAAAATAGTTTACCAGCCATTCTGACGTCAGGATGGCTGGTCAATTATTTTTTTATTTCTCAGAACATATTATTATCATAATAGTATTGCATTTTTTGTCTATGGTTGCACAATGGTTCTTTGTCATTAATTACGGAACTTCGGAGGCATGCATATGTCAAAAATGAAATAAATGGTTGCACGGAGTATAAGGAAGGTCACCGCTCCAAATGTTCTTGTGGAGAAATCCAGAGTTTATGGATACCTCACAGAGATCTAGGACATTCGGATTAAAAATTACGTAAAATTTATTTTTTCATTTATCATCATTCATCATTTATTGAGAACTGCAGTCAAAAGTATAAAGTCATAGAAAAAACAATGACATAGAAACGTGAAACGATATTTAAATTTGAATTACAAAGGAACGCAAGTACTAAAAAGGTTTGCTCTATTAAAAATATTTAACCTCCTTCAACAGTTCTTTCTGAAATCACTCAAGATATCGTGTTCGTGGTGATTAAAATAATTTTGAATTGACAGTGTAATATCGAGTTCTTAGGTTTTCACGCTTGATACGTGGCCATGGGACCTGTAAAGGTCCCGAAACGTCGGTTTGTTTGAAAAAAACATATATACGCGATTTAAATCCGGAAAAATAGTTTCATTTCCTAGAGTGTAATAAATAAATATTTTAAATATCTACTGAATTTTGAACACAAAAAATGACTGGCGCTATAAATTATCATAGTCATTCTCAGTCAGTCAGTCTATCATTATTCAATTAAGTCATTCATTTATTATTAAATAATATAAATTATTCTGATCAATCAATGTCGTACACGATTGTACTCCACGCGCCTCGTTCGTCTCGTGTAAGCCAGGAGCCCAACATGACATACATACACTAATAAATATCATGACAATCGATAAATCCTATTGCCACTAAAGAAAAATAACTGTTAATGTTTTTGCTAATTTCCTTGTATTAGAAACTAAACGTTATTAAAACCTTCAAATAGCATTTATTTCAAAAAATAAACAACAAATCCTGTATATTATGCAAAGTTTGTACGTGAGCTCCGCGACTCGGGGTTCTAAACAAAGGGGCGACTAATTCTAAAATTTCGCGACTAGAACCGAGTAATTCACGACTTTTGGTGGGTGCAATCAGATCTGAGCTAGGAGCTGTGGTTCTCGAGATTCAAAATGGTGCCGCCGGAATACTTATTTCAGCGTGGACAGTAAAAAACCTTAATAACTTCAAAACGGCGTAACGAGTAAATCTACTTTTTTACGACTTGAACCGACTAAATCACGACTTTTTTTATTGTAATCAGATCTTAGTTAGGTGTTGTGGTTTTCGAGATTGAGAAATGGTGCGGCTGCAATAAGCTTATTCGAGTGTGGACAGTAAGACACCCTTATAACTATTGAACGGCGGACCGACTAAATCTAGCTTTTTGCGACTAGAATCGACTAAATAGCGACTTTTTTCTGGCTAGTCAAATTTCAAAAGCTCGACTATGGTCACGCAGAAATAAGGCACACGGAACAAGCGCTCTTAGAAGTCTTTCATTTATGAGCATTCGGCTCCGTACAACTACACAAGACTGGCAACGTTATTTTCACCTCTGAGCGCGTGCTTAGGTTCCTTTTTCCTCGTAGTGAGCGCCTGTTGTCACTAGTCAGATTTAGCTGTTACTGCGTAGGTATTTTCTCGATTTTGTATGAGACTCTCATACAAACTTTAAAATTACAGTGTACAGTAGTAAGTAATCTGTGCCACTGGAATACTATAGACGCTCGATATGAAGGTACCGGTGTTGACCAATTAAAAATCGAACTTTTCTAAATTGATTCTAATGTGGGCGTGTAAGTTTCAAAATTGCCGCCGTAAATATATAACGTTTTCCCGCGAAAAATTGTTAGAAAAACTTATACAAAAATTACAGTCTAAGATCCTGGCAGTATGGTTAATTAGATGCCTTAGCCTGTCCCGAATGACGAAACATTTCAAAGTAGTCCTTTTGTTTAGGTAGTTAACTAAATGTAAACAATATTGAGATGTCTATTTTAATTAAATACACATTTATAAAATGATTTTTACTTACCTTCAAATACAAATAGTTCGCTTCATATGAAATTGCATTTTTCTACCTATTGATTTGTAAAATATGTTTCAATAAAAAAGATGTAACATCAAGATTGCTTACATTTTGTTAACTGCCTAACAAATCGACTATAGTACTAAGTGTGGTCGTGCCTTAATCCAGCATCACTATAATCGAATTTTTTAATTCGACATAAATTCTAGTCGCAAAAAGTCGATTTAATCGGTTCCCCATTATTCATTCTTGAGTATAACACACATCTCGATTAAAAATTGCGCGCCACAAGTCGCAAAGGTACGTCTCGCCTGGTATTGCTCTCAAAAATGCGTTGGTCTTCGTGCCGGACTGGGACCCCGGAGTGGAACCCGTCGGCCAAACTTAGGTTGGACCGGGGGCCCTTCCGTCCCCCACGCCAGGGAGGCGCTACACTTGGTTTTCCAGGGTGGAATATGGTCTATTCTTTACCAAAGTAACTGTTGAGATTGTGGCAATCGGCTTCGCAACGCATAGGCAGCTCATCTGATGTTGCAAATGTCCATGGGCGACGATGACCACCTCCTATCTAGTGGCTCCTCTGCTCGTTTGCCTCCTTCTTTACATAAAAAAATAATAGTTTCTTTACTCTGGTACTCAGTCCAAGGAAATCCCTAGTTTAGTCACTAAAGGTAATTGTTCTAATTATTATTGAGTGACATATTAACGTTACTCTGTCATTCGTGAATAATTGACTATTAAAATAATTACCTATAAACTACCTACGGAAGTTGACGATTACGTTAAACTATTTCATTGTAATGTATTTACATGGCATGGTTATTTGCTCACGGTCAACACATAATTCAAATAAAATTGTCACTCTGAATATTGACCTAATAACTATAACGTTAAGACAAACTTTTAATTACACTGACAAGCAAGAAGTACAATATTATATTACGCAAATAATACTCTAGAATTAAATAGATCAACAACGCAACT